GACAATTTGACTTCCTCCTTTCCTAATTGAATACCCTTTATATCTTTTCTTGCCTGATTCCTCTGGCTAGAACTTGCAATACTATATTGAATAGCAGTGGTGAGAGAGGGCATCCTTGTCTAGTGTCAGATTTCAAAGGGAATGCTTCCAGTTTTTGCCCATTCAGTATGATATTGGCTGTAAGTCATCAAACAAAAGGCAGAAAGTGAAGACAAAGTTTTTAAAAACAAATAAATCATGGCTGATATTTAAAAATTATAGTTCATTGAAATTTTGGAATGCCATGCTGCAGTTAAAAAGAATGATGTATGCTGCATATGTGTCATAAGCAGTGTCAGACGGTGCCCAGCGATTCCTGCTTGTTGACATTTATCCCCTTGAGTAACTGCTTTTCCTTGAGTGTGGGCTGGACTTACTGACTCTTTCTTGAAGAGAAGTAATGAGATGTCACTTCCATGATTAGGTCATTAAAAGGATTTGGTTTCTATCTTGAGAGCACTCTCTTTTACTCTCTCAGATCACTTACCCTGGAGGAAGCCAGTTGCTATGTCCTGAGGCAGCTCTATGGGGAGGCCTGGGGAGTGAAGGCCTGAGGCCTGGCAACAGCCATGTGAGTAAGCTTGGGAGAAGATTCTTTCACTCCCAGTCAAGCAGTCAGATGAGACTACAGCCTCAGCCAACAGCTTGCCTGCAATCTCATGAGAAACTTTGAGCCAGGTCACCTAAGTGAGTTATATATGAAACTTACCCATAGAAATGGTGAAATAATGAATGTTGGTTTCTTTAAACTCCTAAGTTTTTGGGTAATTTTTCTGCAGCAATGGATAACTAATATGTTAGCTATAATTTAATATTAAGTATAAAAACTCAATTGCTGTCTAATACATGTAGTAGGATCCCATATATGTTAAAAACATACAAAAAATGTATGGGAGGTAGACAGAGTAAGATTAATTGACATGTAATTATTTCTGCCTTTCCTCTCTTCACACACTAAAGAGAGTCTTTATCTCCTTATACCCTGCTTTTTCCTTTCCTTTCCTTTTCTTTTCTTTTTTTTTTTTTTTTTGAGACAGAGTCTTGCTCTGCTGCCCAGGCTGATGTGCAATGGCACAATCTCCTCTCACTGCAACCTCCGCCTCCCAGTTCAAGCAATTCTCCTGCCTCAGCTCCTGAGTAGCTGGGATTACAGGTTCATGCCACCATGCCCAACCAATTTTTTGTATTTTTGGTAGAGATGGGTTTCACCATGTTGGCCAGGCTGATCTCAAACTCCTTACCTCGTGATCCACCTGCCTTGGCCTCCCAAACTGCTGAGATCACAGGTGTGAGCCACCGTGCCCCACCCCACCCCACTTGTAGATACTGAATCAAGACAATGCATATAAAGGGATATGCCTGAAAGTAGGGAGGATTTTTTGAGAAGCTGAGCTAGTCTACCCAGTACAGAGTTAAAGATTAGAGAGAAGAGAGAGGAAAAAGATAGGCATAAACAGACTTGAAAAGAGTTTTGTGATTTAGCATGCAGGATCCCTAGAGCAGCTTGAAAAGTGGAGTGTGTGGTATGAATTGGGGCAACTTTAAGAGTTTTCAAGAGATCAGTACAGAAGTTGGAAATACTTTTTAATAAACATTTTATGCACAGACTATATTTCTTTAAATTCAACTTTGTTTAGAGACTGTATTATGTGGAGAAAAAAATAGAATTTATTATATATGTGTGTGTGTATATATATATGGGTAAATATTGGCACACAAAAACTTTATAAGGAAGCAATGAAAATTGTAGTGTATGTTGTTTTAGATTTGAAATTTCATTAGTAAGCTTTTATTGATAAAAATTTGAAGGAGCTGTTTCACTAAAATCTCTGTAAGATGTCAATGATATAAGACAGAGTCATCAATTATGACATAATATGTACCAAAAGCTATGACACAGACAGGGATGAGTGTTGGTGGTGCCAGTAGTGATATGAGATAGACCAAAAGAGGAAAATGGTGATACCACCAGTAACCAAGAGGCCTTTGCTATAAACACCTGTGAAACACCCAGAATTTAGTAAAATGGTGCCAAAAAGCCAGCATTTGTGTACTGTGGGAGAGTCAGAGAAATTCTGTTTACGGACTGACTGGTGATCCAGTGTTAACCGCAGGATTGCAAAGCCTGGAGAAATAAGGATGACATTTTCATAAGACTACTGACAGCCCCAATCATCTCCTAAGCAATGCTCCAAAAACTATCAGTAAATGAGGTCAGCTCCAGAGTGCAGAGAAGTGGGAACTCTCAAATAGTGCTAATGACAGTATAAATTGGGAAGAAACCAACTTGGTAGATGGCTGTTTGGCTTTTAAAATATCTGAAAGAAGGTAATTCTCCATCCATATTCCCATCATTCCCTAAACATCCTAATCATCCTTTGCCTCTGAAAGGCTGCAAGCCCCCAGGGGCATTACACTTACTCTGGTGGAATAACTGTGTGCTGTGTGTCTCCCTTGTGTTTAGCATGGGGCTGGACGCCATGGGATCCAAACATCCTGCAGTATATGTCCCTGCCTATCAGTTCTTATAATCTGGTCAAGGAGAAAAAACACACCCAGTGAACAGTCAGTGACTGTGTTGGGCAAATAAGACTATCTACTGACTGCTCAAGTACAGAACTAACAATACAGGAAAACCCTTCTTTCTTCCTTCCCTATCTCTAGCCATCTATTCTTTTAACAAACATTTATTGAGCACTTACTATGTGCCACGCTCTGTACTAAGTGCTGGGGAAAAAGTCTTTAGCAAAAAAACCCTGCCCTGCCGTTCAATTATGTTGGGGATGATGAAATAATGAAATAATCATACAAACAAATATGAAATTATATAAAGTGAGAAAGAAAAACAACATAGTGCTATGAAGCTACTTAACAATATGTATGGATGATGACATGATGTAGTGGAATGACTGTGGACTCTGGCGCCTGAAAGACCTAGCTTCAATCATTATTTCTCTACCTGGGGTAAAGGGCCATTTGTGTTCCCGGGGGACACTGGGCAATGTTGGGTACAGTTTTGGTCATCTCAGTTGGAGGGTGGGGTGGAGTGGAGAGATGCCAACATCTATTGGGTAATGGTCAGGGATGCCGCTCAATATCCTACCACGCATGCAGTGCTGCACCCCTCAACAAAAATTATCTGCACCCTCACCCCAAAATGACAGTGGTGCTAAGATTGAGAAACTTTGGTTTAGCTTCTTGAATATGAGGCTCAAGTCTAGTTTAACTCCAGATTCCCTGCTCCTCTTATCAACTACCCTTTGCCTCCTACTAAGTAGACAAAAGATGATACTGCCCATCTTGCTTCTAAAATTTCCTTTACTTCCTTGAACCTGTAGTCTAGGTCCCTGGGTTTGTATCACAGTTGTCATTGCTGTGGTATAGTAGCTGATGTCAGACTTCAGATTCCAAGAACCCCCATTTCAAACTGACTTTGCCACTTTCTATTTGTGTAGTATGGGGCAAGTCATTAGACCTGCCCGAGCCTCAGTTTCCTCAACAGTAAAATGAGAATGATGGCACATGTCAAGCATGTGGGCATAATACACACGCAAGAAATGGTTGCTGTTATGATTCTTTACAGAGGAGAATGTCATCGCCTATAAATATGGACTCCTAGATCCAGGGAAATGGATAGTTTGTCCAGAATTAGAACCATATCTGACATATAAATTGGAATTTTATACTTTTGTTCATAAAATCTTTTTGAGACATGAAATAAGAGTTGTAGGCTTGAAGAGAGAAAAGCATTGGAAATAAATATCTGTAAAAGAAGAAGAACCTGTGGTGATGGTGTATACAGAGCCATTGTTTTCTGTTAAAGAAATCTGAGTGCGAAGCTTCCAGCCAAAGCACTTTAGCTGTAAGTTTTGGCAGCAGTGGTGTTGGGACTCAAACACCCTGTGTCTGAAAAGCTGGATCAGGGTTTTTGTTCCTGGAAATGACATTAGATTGTCCATTTACATCCCGTAAGTCTATTAAGCACTGATTGTAATGCATCACAACACTTTCGATATTTGGGCATCAATTAATTCTATTACATTTCTGCCTCTTGGCCACCACCTTTTTTGACACTTCAGCTTTATCCAGATGAGCAAGTTGTTGTCAATGGATTTGCATAACTCTGAGCAGTTCTGTGCAAGGAGGTCATGGAAGTGCCAGTGACCCTCCAACTGATGGTCAAGAGAGCTGTATACCCCTCAAGCTGGAGTCTTGGAGGCGTAAAGGATCATATTTGGATTACTTTCTAATCCTGCTTAGCCACTCACTAGTGGGCCAACTTGAATTCAACAACCTTTCTGAAGTTTAGCCTCTTTCTTTTGGTTTCCTGTGCCTGGCCCATTGTGAGTGCTTTTTTAAGAGCTATAAGCATTACCACTGTGACATAGGTATTAATCTCCCCATTTTTATGAGGGAATATTGAGTGAGATTCAGAAGGGTAGACTCAAAGCCATATATTTGGATGGCGATGCAACCAGTGTCTAAACCAAAGTTTCTCAATGTTGATACTATTGACATTTTAAACTGGAATGTCTCATTAATATATTTTCACTGGTTACATGTTGAAACAACATTTTAGGAACACTATATGAAATAAAATATGGTTTTAAAAGATAAAACCAAGCTGGGCGGGGTGGCCCATGCCTATAATCCCAGCACTTTTGGAGACTGAGCAGGGGTGGATCACCTAAAGTCAGGAGTTCGAGACCAGTCTGGCCAACATGATGAAAGCCATCTCTACTAATAATACAAAAATTAGCTGGGCATGGTGATGCACGCCTGTAATCCCACCTACTTGGGCTGAGGCAGGAGAATCGCTTGAACCCGGAAGGCGGAGGTTGCAGTGAGCTGCGATCATGCTGTTGCACTTCAGCCTGGGCAGCAAGAATGAAACTCCATCTCCAATAAATAAATAAATAAATAAATAAATAAATAAATAAATAAATAGCCAAAAACCATAGTGAACACATGGACTCATTTTTATTTGATTTGGCCAAGGCCTCACTGACATGTTTTTGATACATTTTGAACAGTCCTAGAAAGGTTTCCACACCAGCTCCCTCAGTCTAAGTAACACATGTCCCAACAAAACATCGCTTCATTTCTGAAAGAAGCCCTGTGGGTCTTGCCATGAATACACAGGAAAGACTAAAAAGAGATTCTTGAAAGTGCACCTGCTCAGCCTGCTGTTGAGAAAGAAAGAATGAAATTTGTTATTTCTTTTTTTTTGAGACTGTCACCAGGCTGGAATGCAGTGGCATAATCTCAGTTCACTGCAACCTCTTCTTCCCAGATTCAAGTGATTCCCCTGCCTCAGCTTCCCAGGTAGCTGGGACTACAGACATACACCACCATGCCTGGCTAATTTATTTTATTTTATTTTAGTAGAGACAGGTTTTCACCATGTTGGCCAGGATGGTCTTGATCTTCTGACCTCATGATCTGCCTGCCTCGGCTTCCCAAAGTGCTGGGATTGCAGGCATGAGTCACTGTGCCCGGCCCAAAATTTGTTATTTCAGTGGGGTTAGCATGTAGACAAGCCACATTTGGAATGTAGAGAAGAGGTGCAGAAAAGAGTTAATGGCAGACCTGAGACTGCTGTCCTTAGGAAAGGCCTGCATGCCAGGTTGGCCCTGGGCTGGCATCTGGGAACTCAGAGGTAGGGAGGGTTCCCACAATTCCTTAACTGGTAAAAGTGGCCTGAAGTGTGTGTGCAAACAGCGTGGTTGATGCTGCACACCTGCCTTTCCTCTGGAAGTCTGGTATTTTAGTGTATGTTAGGCAAAGGGTGCTTATGTGGCCATCCCCCCAGCAAAAACTTGGGGCCCTTGGCCTTCTTGGTTGGTAGCAGTTCATGTGTGTTGTCACAGCTTGATGCTGGAGAAATCAAGCATGTCCTATGTGACTCCACTGGGAGAGGACTCTTAGATGCTTCTGCCTGGTTTCCTTGAGACAATACCCTGTGTGTATTTTCTCTTTACTGGTTTAGCTTTGTGGTGTTTTGCTGAAATAAACCATAGCCATGCAGATGACTGTATACTGAGTCCTGTGATTCCTCCTAGCAAATCCTCCAACCTGGGAATGGTCTAGGAGATCCTTGATGCAGAAGAGCAGCTGTTGGCAGAAATAAAAGACCTTTTAAGCTAAATACTTACAAGAACTGGATACTTGACATCATTGGTACTTTTAAATTATTCAAGTAATAGCACTCTAGTTAGGATTACTATAGCATACAATTGAATGCATAAACAACAATTTTCTGGATTAGAAGCAGGCCAAGGTAATCAAACAAGTGGCAGGCTGTTTTTACCTTTTATGTAAAACTCTCCTGAGGAAACCATGGGAGAGTTGGAAGCAGGGCCCAATCAGCTGAAAATTAATTGGAAACTTTGTTCTTCCTCTAAACTGTTAAAAGTCACTCAATCTCAGGTTATAACTTACTTGGAGAATTCGAATTTCTCTTGAAGATTTAGACTCAGCTCTTCTTTACTGGAGTAACAGCTGCTGAAGAAATATATACAAATGTTGTTACCTGAAGTTGGAATGCAGTCTCTAGAAAAAACTTTAGAATAATGTCATTTTAAAGAACAGTCCAAAAGCACGTTACAAAAGGAAAATAAAATGAATAGTGAATAATGGGTATGCAGGAAACTGAGGATGACTGTCCTTGGGGAAATATTTACTGAATCTTTGATTTTTAATGTGTGGTTCTTTAGAATTGAGTGTCTGATGCAGCCTTGGTGCTTTAGAACTTGGAACTCTGCACGGAACCCTGGAATTTCTCAGTGCACTTTGTCTCTAGTTAGATCATACTCAAGAGGGATGCAGGAGCCAAATGGTCTTTGGTCAGACAGGTTAATGGAGTGATCCACACTTCTCCCATTTCCCCTCTTCTTTGGATAGAGCCACACTACACAGAACATGTCAGCTACAGGCACCAAGGATCATGCTCTACTGTCCAACTTTGGGCATGAAAAGTTCAGGATGTTTCTGATGACTCTGATGGAGCCGGAATACATGGCTGACAGTTGTGGCGTGCCCCATTTGCTTTCTCTGGAGAACAGAGCGCTGTCTGGAGTTGCACTGGCAAGGACACAGAGCCGGCAGCAAGCAATGGGACCACATTGCTGAGAGCCTTCGCTGTGCACAGCATCACCTGGGGAAGCAGGGACTGATGAGATAGAGGAACTGTTCTTGGGCTTCAGCTGTGTGCAATCTGACATGTGTATCATACCAACAGATAAAAGGAATTAATCCAATAGCATCAACTCCTTCTTGAAAGATTGATTATCCAACAATCTCAATTTTCTGGAACCCAGATAAAACTTAGACACAAAATACTTTTTTACAGCCAGAAAGAATGTCAAAAGGTTCATATGCTTTCATCAAAAGCATTGCTGCTTTGGTCCTCACCTAGAGTATGTCTGTTATTTTATGGAAAAAAAAATCTGACTTCAGCCTCCACTAAAACTGCTCTCAGTGACATCAATACCTTCCTTGAGAAAATGATGTTCTTTCACTTATGAATTGATTCTCTTGGCAGCATTTTTAATGTTGAATCCTTTCTCTCTTTCTTATGACTTTCAATCAAATTATTGGATAAAGAAAATGTGGTATATATACACCACAGAATACTAAGCTGCCATAAGAAAAGAATGAACTCATGTCTTTTGCCGCAACATGGGTGGAGCTGGAGGTCATTTTCCTAAGTGAACAAACTTGGAAACGGAAAATCAAATACTGCATGTCCTCACTTACATGTGGGAGCTAAACAATGAGTACACATGGACATAAAGATGGATATAATAGACACTGATGGATATAATAGACACTGGGGACTCCAAAAGGCAGGAGGGTGGCAAGGGGGCAAGGGTTGAAAAATTACCTGTTGGCTACAAAGTTCACTGTTTGGGTAATGGGTGTGATGGGTATGCTGGAAGCCCAGACCTCACCATATCTCATTTGATATATCCATGTAATAAACCTGCATATGTACCTCCTAAATATATAATTTTACAAAAGAAAATCAGTTAAAGTAAAAATAAATAAAATTAGACTGGGTGCAGTGGCTCACACCTGCAATCCCAGCACTTTGAGAGGCTGAGGCAGGCAATGAATTGCCCGAGGTGGAGTTTGAGACCAGCGTGGCCAACATGGTGAAACCCTGTCTCTACTAAAAATACAAAAATTAGTCTGGCGTGGTGGTGCGTGCCTGTAGTCCCAGCTATTCAGGAGGCTGAGGTAGGAGAATCGCTTGAACCTGGGAAGTGGAAGATCGTGCCACTGCATTCCAGTCTGCCTGACCAGAATGACACTCCATCTCAAAAAACTGAAACTAAAACCAAAACCAAACCAAAACAAAAACCAATAAATAAAGTTAACCATTTACAAGTGTGAAGTTCGGTGGCATTTAGTACACTCACAATGTCATGCAGTGACCACCCCTGTCTAGTTCTTAAACACTGCTGTCACTCCAAAGTAAAATCCTGAGCCCATTATGCAGTGTCTCCCACTCTTAGCCTCACACAGTCACAAATCTCCACTTATTCCTATGGATTTATTTATTCTGGGCATTTTATATAAATGGATCATACACTGTGTGGTCTTTGGTATCTGACTTCTTTCACTTAGCATAAAATTTGAAGGTTCATCCATGTTGTAGCATGCATCAGTACTTCATTTTAGGGCTGTATTTTTTGGAATATTATTCCATTTTGTGGATATGTCAAATTTTGTTTACTCACTCTTCACTTGATGTACGTTTGGGTGTTCCCACTTTTTTGCTGTTATGAACAATGCTGTTATGCACATTTGTGGGGTTCCTGACCTTTTCCATCTCAGTTTTCTCATCTCTAAAACTGAGTTGATAATGGTAATTACCTCATGAAATTATTAGGATTAAATGAGGCTTAAGCACTTAGAATCGTGCCCAGAACATGGGAAAGGCTCAATAAATCTTTGTTTTATTATTTTCTTAATACATAAGCACTCAAAAATATCAAAAGTTGGTTTGTGGTAGGACAAATGACTTTATACATCTCAATAATTCTTGAAGTCATATTATCTTACTTTAATAATTAATGTAAGAAATAGTGACCCTGAATTACAAGTGAAAGCTTAAAATGTCAACTATGGTCAGCATTTTTGGGGGGTAAAAAGGCAGGGATGAATCCATCTTGATGGATTTCCATCAAAACCTAGCATTAGACAGGGGAAATAAATGAGGCCTTGCAGAGTCAAATGCCTTTCTAAAAGTAATAAGCTATGAGTTTGAAGAAGTGGCTTGAAGATCAGCTCATGTACTAAGGGCCTTTGAGTTCATGAGCAATATAATTATGTGATAAAAATTATAAATGAAGAGCACCCTGGAACTTCCGAGCCAAGCAGATGTGAGATGTGAGTGGAAGCAGGAGGACCAGAATGGATAATTGTACAGAGGTTAGGGGATTGTCCTGGAGAGGTGACTGGGCATATGAAGAAGAAGCAACGTACCCAGGAGCCACCTTGTATGAAAAATTGATAGAAAATGGGAATAGACCAGTAGGAGAAGAGAGGATTGAGAACAAATGTTCTAAGCTTATGGGAGGGAAGGGCAAGAATGTCACACATGGGAATTAGAGAGTTGGAAAGGGCAGGAAGGACTGCTTTGACACCTCTATCTTCCCATATGTCTTACTTTCTATTTAGGGATAACAGGAGATAAAGCAACACTTTTGGCTGCATTCTCGACACCCATTTCCCATTTCTCCCTTGCTGTATCAGTCAGAAAGGGTTGAAGCCTCACTGACATGGCTTCAGCACACTTTCAGCAGCCTTGGAAAGGTTTCCACACCAGCTCCCTCAATCTAACATGCATTTCCCAACAAATCATCATTTAATTTCCTTTTTAAAAAATTGTTTAATTTTTTATACAAGGGGGAAGGCAGATGGGGAGAGACAAGGATACAGATAGATAGAGGGACAAATATATAGAGACAGGGAGGGAGGCAGAGAGAAATAAAAAGAGAGAAGAAAGTCACGGAGAAATAGGAGGGAGAGGAGAAGGACAAGAGGTCCTAAATGAACTAAGCAAGGCAGGAGGACCATGGAGACTCTCATTACTTCCTCCTGGGCAATGTATGGGTACGGAGCTAAGAAAAAGGCAGAACCTGAATGTAGCTAGAGTCTATCAGAAATGGCAACTCCAAACCCCCAAGCTGCCTCCAGAGCAGACATTACCAATTCAACCCAGAGCGCTCTCTGGGTTGAATTTAATTTCCTAAAATAAGCCATGTGGGTCTTGCCATGAATACACAGCCAAGACCGAAACGAAATACCTGAAGATGCACTTGATCAGCCTGCTCTTGAGAAGGAAAAAATGAAGTTTTTTCCTTCTTCAAGGGAGCTCAAGGGACGAGCCACACTTCAAATGTAGAAATGTGCAGAAAAAAATTAATGGCAGGCCTAAGACTGCTTCCTTAGAAAGTCCTGCTTGCAAGCCTGGCCCTTGACTGGCATCTGGGAACCTAGATGTAGGGAAGGTTCCCACAATTCCTTAGTTCGTGAGAGTGGCCTGAAGTGTCAAACTGTGGTTTGTGCTGCATACCTGCTGCCTTCTACATTTACTAATTGAGCTCCAGTTGTTTTTTGTTTTATTTTGTTTTTCAGGTATGAACCCTATAGTCTAAATCAGTCATAGCAGAAATTTTGTCTTGCCTAATGACTGCTTTAAGTATGAAGGGGCATGTGCCCCAGTTCAGACCAATGATACACTAAGGTAACTCAGCTGGGGCTTCTGGGAGAGGGTTTCGAACTTACAGAATGTGCTCAAGGAAGGGATATTGCTTTCTGCCTCTGGACTGAGTATTTCTGGGCATGATATTGATAACTACTGTGTACATCCAGACTGAGGAGGAAATCCTCATGGTAAACTTGGCAAAGCAGAAATACAGAAAGAACCTGAGTCTTTTTTTTTTTTTTTTTTTTTTTTAAGACTGAGTTTTGTTCTTGTTACCCCGGCTGGAGTGCAATGGCGCCATCTCTGCTCACCGCAACCTCCGACCCCTGGGTTCAGGCAATTCTCCTGCCTCAGCCTCCCGAGTATCTGGGATTACAGGCACGTGCCACAGTGCCCAGCTAATTTTTTGTATTTTTAGTAGAGATGGGGTTTCACCATGTTGACCAGGATGGTCTCGATCTGTTGACCTCGTGATCCACCCACCTCGGCCTCCCAAAGAGCTTGGATTACAGGCGTGAGCCACCGTGCCCGGCCCAGAACCTGAGTCTTTTGCTGACATGTTTGAACTACTGAATGAACCCAGGCAGAAGTCACCATGTCTACAGACTTCTTGCTGTGTGTGATAATACATCTTGTTTAAATGATCTTTGATTGAATTTCTCTTATTAAGTATCCTAGCAGACAATTAAAATATAATTTCACTACCTCGTTAAGTGAATTTAGATTGTAGTGTTTCCTTGTTGTTGTTCTGTAGAGAAGGAGCTCTTCCTGTGTTGCCTAGGCTAATCTGAAACTCCTCAGCTCAAGCAGTCCGCCCGCTTTGACCTCCCAAAGTGCTGGGATTATAGATGTGAGCCACTGAGCCTGGCCTAGACTGTAGTTTTTGAAGAAAATGTATTTATGCAGTTGTTTAACCAACAATTTATGGAATGTCTTTTATATGCTATGTGAATGGAGGACATCCAAGAAGAATAAGAGAAAGGGCTTATAATTTCAAATATAAATAAATATATAATTGTTTACCCAAATAAATACATAACAAATATAACATGAGGCATCTTAAGTCACATGAGATACTACAACATAATGCTGGTGTTCTGTAAGTTGTTTTACACCAATGTTGTTCAGGGTTCATGTTATTTAGGACACAAGTTACTCCAAGTCCTTAGCAGAGCTATCTTGATGTCTTGTTGTCCAGAATTGGGGCAGAAACCCATTCATGCTTAGAGCAGTCACTGACAAGCAAATGCCCACCATGAAAGATTGAGCCTCTGGGAGTGATCAGGACAGAGCTTGTAAAGTTTAGGTCTTTTTGATCTCCTCTTTGCCCCCTTCCCCCTGCCCAGTGAAAGGAGTACCCACATGAGGGACTCCCCTGATTTCAAGCTCCTTAAAGTAATAGTTGCTTGTGGTTCAAGCACACGCTAGCCTTCAGCTAAACACAAACGGTCAATCCACGGTAGAATGTTCAGCCTCCCAGAGCTCAGGCTCCTTTATCATATGGAGCTATTATGAGTTCCTATTTCTCTTAGTTGGGAAGAGGTTCCCCAGGTACCATCCTATTCAGGGAATACATGGTTCAGTTTACTGGATAAA